ACAGTGAGTTGGAATCCGAAGAAAAGCAGACTTCCAGTTCTGGATGTGAGCCATTCATCAGATCTGGCTGCGGTTCATAGTGGGAGTCCACAGGGATGGGTGGCTTTGGAGGAGAAATCAGGAACCAGTTAGAAGGAGGAAAAGGGAGGAATAAGAGTGGGAATTAAAAGGAAATTGAAAAGGGGATTGTAAAATGCTTAAAGCCTAGATACTGAGTTTAAGAATACAGATCTTCTAACGTGGGGCCACAGGGTTGGGCTGTTGTGAGAGGCCACAGATACCTCAGTAGCCCTCACTGAGGTTTCTGAACCTCCACCTTTCCACGCAGACCAGAGCTTTGAGGCAGGGGAAGGTGGGAGTAAGAAGGCCCTGCAAGCTTGGCTTCAAAGAGGAGAACTGTGGTAGAAAAGGCTTGAAAGCTACTGTATAGGTCCATGCCACCTAATTTTTGTTTTTTTTTTCTACCCAAGTTCCCTTCCTCTGGGAAACCAATGAGAAAGTGACATGTAGCAGCTTCAGATCCCTCCTCAGGGCAAACCTCAACCCTCTGGTTGACAAAGTCGCCGCCACAAGTCCAGGCAGTGTTCGGAGGTGCCTCCATGGTCAAGCTACCGGAGGAGACTCCAAGAAGCCCTACGTCCTGGATTGAGGCACTTTCCCAAAACCAGACATCAGTTTTTGCATTGGAGAGACAAGGGAGATAGTGCTGACTTTTGATTTCTTGAACTGACTGGTAGATTCACAGGCCATTATCTTTTATGTATACATTATATATAAAAGGTTATGTTGTCAGTATAAAATATTTAATAGACATTACTTAATAATTAGGGGATTACATTCAGTAATCTTGGTTCCTTTCACCTCTGAAAATCTAGATATGGACTTGGCCCAATGTCATTACAGTAATGGCTCAAGGCAAGAATGTGGGTGAACTTTCAGAGGGCATAGTTTGGGAAGAGTTCTGGCTTTGGAGTCAGACCTGGTTTTCAATCCTAGTTCTGGGATGACTGACCTTGGATAAGTTACTTTGATGCTTTGCTGACAAAATTGAGATAATACCTATCCTGTAAGGGAGGTCATGAGTACCTTATACAATAAAAACATAACATGCAAATCAACCAAACAGCAGAACAACCAGTCGAGGCGGGGAAGGGGGGAATGAGGCGGGTTGGTGAGCAAGCAGCTCCAGGCCAGCCAAGGCGTGTGCCAGCGAGCAGAAGGAGGGAATGGCAATGGGGAGGTGGCAGCTGAGGGGAGAAGTGGGGGAGAGGGCCGGCACCATCCCCTGATGGACCCATCTGATCGCCTCCCGCAGAGGGAGGCCAGACTGCAGCTTAGGACATCCCCTGAGGACTTCTCGACTGTGAGAGGGCGCAGGCTGGGTTGAGGGGATCCCCCCTCCTCCAGTGCATGAATTTCCGTGCACCAGGCCTCTAGTATATATGTATAAAGCATTTACTGTAGTGCTTGACGGATAGTGGTGCTCGGAAACTGATCAGTATTATTAGTACAGGCTCCACTGATGGAAGGTACTGAAATTAAATCACCTTGAAATTATGATTCGTGTCTCCTATGTTTTTCTACTCTCAATACTTAACAAGAATGCCCTGCATATAGCAGGTGCTAGATAGTTGCTCGGATTGTTGAGAAATGGTTGACAAGGACTGGAAGGTGGGACAGGGCAGCGATGTGCTGTGAAAGCAGAGAAAGGGTGGATTCAGGCAGTAAAAATGTCACATATCCTTTCAAGTGTATTCTTGTCCTCTGGGGCCTAGAGTCTGTCCTTCCCTCCTCTGTGCTTTGCATGAGTGACTGGAAGAGAGGGCAAAAGCCTCGGCCAGAACAGAGAGAGCAAGGAGGTGGTGCTCAGGGAGGATGGAGGAAGCCTATGATAGAGTGTGCGTACTTATGAATGAAGGAGACAGGATGTGCTTGCTGGGGGGAGGGGAGAGACTAAGGTTAGGGTCCGGGTGACCACACTAAGAGAGATCTCGAGCACTTGGAGCAAAGGAGGGGAATGCAGAGTGAGTCACTTGCAGAGTGAGGTCAATCAAGGGAGAGTGGGACTAGGAGAGGCTGTGGGAAGACTTGAAAGGTCAGAGAGCTCATTAGAGTAAACCAGAGCAACCAGTCAGGGTCAAGTGAATGAGAGGGAGAGGGCAAGGGGAGAGGGAGAGGGCAAGGGGAGAGGGAGAGGGAGAGCATGCACGTGTTTGAGAGAGTCCACACGCCATCGAGGTGAGCGGGAGCACACAGAGGATGGGGCCAGTGCCAGGAAGCCAGCAGTAAGGGAGCAATGGTCACAGGGAGGGTGGGTGTGAGCACAGACGGGAGAGAGCATGGGGATGAGAAGGCAGCCACAAGAATGAGAAAGGCAGGGGTGGGGGCAACAATTAATGAGATGGAAAAGACAGGTGTGGTGCAGAAGCCAAGCATGAGAGGATGAAGGGAGAAGGGGCGGCATGCTTGGCAGCAGAAGGAAGGAGACAGGCGGACCAGACAGAAAGTTCAGGAAACACACTATGCCTGTCCCCATGTTGCTCAGGCCACTCTCTCCGGCGTGGGATCATTGCTGTCCTTCTTGTGCAGCTTTTCTTTAGAATGCCGGGCTCTCTTCACAATTACGTGCTGTTTCATTCCTCAGTGAGGATCTGTCCTTGCGACAAAAGAGAAGAAAACAGCGGAGGCTGGTCGTCCAGGATGTAGATCGCCTTATCTGTCACCTGCCGTGACCGCTGCCGTTCCCCATGTTATGTTAATGTTTACAAGTACTTCAGTTGGGACGTCTTAGGGTGGGATGAAAGCAAGAACTGAACCCCAATTCTGGTCAGCATTTTGGGACATGGAGGCCAAGCATTTAACTAAGAGGAGACCCTGGGGATTCCATGTTTGAACATAACTCTCATTTACTTACTCATTGCTTGGTGATACTTAAAATTTCATTTCTGCAACTAGTCTCTCCGTTCTGCCAGATCAGGAGTTGTGCTTCCTTCCCCTTGCTCTCCAGCCTGCCCTTCCTTCCCAGAACATGACATCAGGGGGATTTAGCATGTTTCATTGATTCCTGCATCATCATTATCCTTAAGTATCCGTAACAATTGAGTGGCCATAATGAGGCCCAGAACTGAGTGCATTTCCAGACAAAGGGGATTCCAGGGCAAAGGCTTTGCCCTGTGGCAGGAAAATCAGATGTGCAAGCATTGGGGGAACCACAGCTGAAGGGTCCAAGTTGTGAGCCCTCTTTACGGCAGTTATATTGTTTTGGAAGCCAAAGCCCTCTGAATTTCAACTTGATGGCTGCCAACTGGGAGTGGCCCAGATTTCCTTACCCCCAACATTTCTGTCTTTTGAACTCCATCCACACATTTTAGCCCAAGTTGAAATCTGCCCAGCCTGAAGAAGGCAGCCTCGAGGAATGTTGACAACCCAATTGAGATGACAACATTGGAGTGATGACAACAGAACATAAATGACATTGTAGTTCTTTGCACTAATCATTGCTCTCATTAGTGTGAAAAAATCATATTATTTTCTCCATTTATTGAAATAATTTAACTTCTTTAAATTCTCTGGCAAGCAGAGAATTTAATGTGTACAATGGGATGACAAATGATTTTTGTTTGTTTTTTACTCCTCTCCCAAGGATATATTTTTATTGATTTTAGAAAGAGAGAGGAAGGAAGAGGGAAAGAGAGAGATAAATCGATTGAGAGAAACCGTTGCCTTCCATACGAACCCTGATCAGGGATTGAACCCATAATTTGGATATGTGCCCTGGTGGGGAATTAAACCCCTGACCCATAACCCATGGGACAATGCTCCAACTAACTGAACCACACTGGTCAGGGCAATAAATGTAGTTTTTTTATGTAGGAAAGAATAGGTAGGAGGGGAAGCTTTTATATAGAAATGAGGATTTTAGAAACAGCATGAAAGAAGAAAAAGAAAGGGATTTGAACTCAAATCTGAGTATGCCTTTCTCAACCCCCTCCTTTCCTCCCCAGCCCCTCTCCAATGCCAGTCATTGCCTCGAGGGGATGTGTAACTTTCAGTTCTGAATCCAGATCAGAGGTGGCCTCCTTAATGACTGGGATAGACGTTCCCAAGGGGCACTGCTGTTTCTACACTGGAAGAGGACTAACCTGTTAGCACTGAGACAGTTTCAATAACCACACAACAGCCAGCACGTAGGGAGTGCTCACTTTACACCTGGCGCTCTGCTACGCACTTTGTATCATTGTTCTACTTTATCCTCCCAACAATCCATACACTCTTACATCTGATAGTTAAGAGACAGAAGGTTAGAAAAGTGACTGCCAAGCTTTCTCAGCTAATAAGTGGCAGAGCCAGGATATAAACGCAAGTCTTTCTGACTCTCAACCCTGCAATTTTAACCAAATTGCTCAACCTAATGCCCTACTCAGCTTTAGATAGGAGAGCACTCAGCAAGTACTTCATAAAGAAAACAGAGACTCCAAACATACTCAAAGCTCTTCCGGCTTTCAAAACAAAACAAGCTCTTCAGTTTGTTTTATTGTCTCCTTATTAGCCTCTTTCTTTCATTCCGTTCTCTCTAGATTTTTATCCCCATTTCTTTCAATAACCGGCTGTATAAACGTGGAGAAATAATTAGTTCTCGGATATTTATTCAGTATCTCCATCCCACAGGTAGAGAGATGGATGGAGTGAGAGATGATCCCAGTAAGACCATTCCAGGAAATCTGCCTCCTCTGCTGGTTTTACTTCCTCGAGCAGAATGAACAGGTCATGGGCTTTAGATCAGGCAGACCTGATTTTAACTCTCACCCAGTGAACCTGCCTGGCCCTGTCCTTCAGATGACAGGACCTCCGTGGAGTAGTCCCCACAGGCTGATGGGAAATTCATGCATATGTGTGCCTGCTCTAGTAAGTGTTTTAACATTTCACTTCTGCCTTTTTCCTCCCAGCATCCGCCTACTCTTCTGCCATCTGAACGTCCTGGCTGTGCCATCCCACGGGCCATGGAGAATGAGCTGCCAGTCCCCCATACATCTAGCAGTGCCAGTGCCACCAGCAGCGCCAGCGGGGTCAGTAGCAGCAGCGGTGGAAGTGGCCGCCCCGCTGGGCCCCAGATTTCCGTGTACAGTGGCATCCCTGACCGGCAGACCGTGCAGGTGAGATTCCAGCTGATCGTGGATTGAATTCCTTGGTCATCTCCAGGCCTAGCAGGAGGGCTGTCAGCATGGTCTAGTGGAATGGCCATGGTGTTGAGTCTGTGCAGTTAGAGGAGCCTTTTACCGTTTCCTCCTTTCCCTGAGACTGTGGCTCAGCCAGTCCCATCAGGAAAGAGAGAATGTAAGGCCAGGGAGTGGGAGATGGTGGCGCAGAAGAGGGGTGATGGAGGGAGGGAGGGAAAGGAGAGAGAGGAATGCATCACCCTGTGGTACTCGCAAGCCCTGTGGTCTGCAAGCCCCAGGGGATTTCTTCAAAGGGACTGGTAGGACTTTCCAGGCGGCTAGGACCAACCCTGGGAAGAAGGCAAGTCTGCCCTGAGGCCCCACCCCATCCCCCCGGCAGGGAGGACACAGCCCTTGGGTAAGTTTTAGTTGGCTGGTGTGTTGCTTAAGTGGCCATAGTCTCCCCCCCCCCCTTGTGAGTTGTCTTTCTTCCCACGCCGTCCCTTTTCTCTGCCTTGTTGAGCTTTGGTTCCCTCTGCCATCCTCCCTGTGTGCCAATCACCCTAACCTGAGGCTGAAGAAGGGAAGGGAAAGGGGGTGTTATTGGCATGAGACACAGTGTCTCTGGAGGCTGAAAGGATTTCTGTCTCCCACAGCCTCCCTACCCCCCTGAGAGTGAGTCAGAGCAGTGATGGGCTGCCTTAAAGTCAAGGGGGGGGGGCAGCCAACACAGGGCAGACCATCCTGGGGGGCAGTGCACTGAAGAGATGCGAGGTAGACGAGGCAGAGATGCCTCCCTGAGAGATGATTGGCTGTGGTGCTCGCAGACCTGGTGGCCTTCTCTGAGCAGTTGGGGAAGAGAGGGGGTTGGCAGGTGTTATTGCAGAAGGGTGGGTGTGCGGTGGGTGAGTGGCCCAGCTGTTGGACACTGTCTGCACCTCCCCCGTCCCTGGCAGGTGATCCAGCAGGCCCTGCACCGGCAGCCCAGCACTGCGGCTCAGTACCTGCAGCAGATGTACGCCGCCCAGCAGCAGCACCTCATGCTGCAGACGGCGGCACTGCAGCAGCAGCACCTCAGCAGCGCGCAGCTCCAGAGCCTGGCGGCCGTGCAGCAGGTGAGAACAGAGGGTGCCGCTGATGCCCCAGGGGCACTGGCTGCAGGAGTAAGAGATAAGAGCGTGCCCTGTGCATGCTCTCCCTGGACCCTCACAGAACCCCTCAAGTAGGTGTGATGGTCAGCGGCCTCTGACAGATGAGGAAAAAGGCTCTGGGTGGCTGCACACCTGGCCCAAGGTCACACAGCTCCTGAGTGAAGCGGCTAGAACCCTCAACCCGCCCAGCCCAGCCCCGGCCTTCCTTACCAAGTCACTGCACCACAGAGACAGGACTGAGGGTCAGAGAGGTCCACAAGCAAAGGCATTGTCCATTCAGCTTGCCATCAGTGGCTGAGAAGAACTCATCATTCATTCATTCATTCATTCATTCAACAAAATATTTTATGGACCTATTGTATGCCAGCGTTTATGTCAGGCACTGAGGATACTGTGGATTCTGTCTTCTTGGAGTTCATAGTGGGAAGACAGCCAGTAAACAGAAACCCAAATAGACAAGGAAACAAAATGTGAACATCTCAGCTGTGGTAAGCTGTGACTGAATAACAAGGAAGACCTTAGATTGGGTGGCCAGGGAAGGCCTCGCTGCTGGAGTGACATTGACGCTGCCCTTGAAGGCTGACAAGAAGCTGGCCAAGGGGAGAGAGTAGGCTGGACATCCCAGACAGTGTGTACAACGCTCCGTATGGGGGCCCAGGTCTGATGGAGTGGGGAGGATGGAGGACTGAGAGCTGAAAACCTTGCTAATAGCCGTAGCTGACATTTTGAGTGCTTACATGCAAATGCTTTGCCTTGCTCAATCCTTTTAACAACCGACCAAGGTAGACACTGTTATTGTGCCCACCTTATGAGGAAGGAAACTGAGGCACTCGCTTACGGTCACACAGATGAGGCAGAATGGAGGTTTGACTCCTCCCCACCTGTTGTACTTCCTTGGAAGGTGAGAACCTGGGCGGGACTAAGGGAGATCTGAGACTCTAGTGATAAGAATTGTCCTTTCCAGGCGAGCCTGGTGGCCAACAGGCAAGGGAGCACCCCCGGCAGCAGTGTGTCTGCACAGGCCCCGGCCCAGTCATCCTCGGTGAGTAGATGGGGGCCCCCAATCCAGGACCAGCTCCGTCCTCCTTGCCCAAGACCCAGTGGTGGGGAATCCTCAGCCATGTGGAATCATGGCTGGAATCTATTGCTCTTGCCAGAAATCATACGTGTCTCTCCCTAACCCTTACTGTAACAACTCCCTGTCATCATCCATGCCAAGGTTCTCTGTTCATAGCTCAGTTCTCTCGCCATTGGACCCTCCCCCCCTCCCCCGCAGCTCTGCACAAAGGCCAGAGATGGGGCAGCGCTGGGGGAAGATCCAGGGCCAAGGACCAGAGATGGTTCTAAAGAAGGCCGAATCCACCCAGGGACAGGGCGGAGGGGAGAAATGGGTGCAGTTGGCACAGACCACAACAGGACCACATGTTTCCTACTGGTGTCTCTCCCATCAGATCAATCTGGCAGCCTCCCCAGCGACAGCCCAGCTCATCAACCGGGCTCAGAGTGTGAACTCAGCGACCGCCTCGGGCATCGCCCAGCAGGCTGTGCTCTTGGGCAACACATCTTCTCCCGCCCTGACTGCGAGCCAAGCACAGATGTATCTGAGGGCACAGATGGTGAGTACCCAGCCTGGGCCACGGCTCAGGTGGGCCAGGGGGAACAGGCAGAGAGTCTGAGGGATGAGGGAAGGGTAGGGATTAGTCCAGGTTGGGAGGAAGCCTGGGAGACAGTTGGCAGAGATAAGGGTGGAATAAAGAAGAGAGGGGAGCTGGAAGGCTGAGGGAGCTTTGGTATGGGCTCACTGACAAGGACGCGGGGGTCCCAGGCTGAAATAGTTACCCATGATGCCTCCTTTCCTTCCCCTCCGAGAGGGAAACAGAACTGTGCTCCTCCTTTCAGAAACTACTCCCTAACATTCATTAGGGTAGGCATTGCGGGAGTCCTTGCCTCAATGGTCTGTACACTCAGGCACATCAGATAAGCAAGCATAGAAACACTTATACACTCCGCAGACATGGGGACATCCATCTTAGCTCACTGTGACAGTCCCTGCTGGTGATCAAGGGTCAAAGGTGCATTCCAGCTCAGATAGTGAAGGTGGCAGCCAGCCGTCAGGACATGCTGCTGCCTCCACTGCCCTTCCAGCTGGGCCCCATGTTAATCATGGTCACCCTATCAATTGTTAATCAGGTGGGCATGTTTGGGTCGAATGTACTCAGGGTGGCACCGGCCCAGGAAATGCATACCTAAGATCTCTCCTCTACACCTGGCCCTGAGGGCTGCAGGGTCCCTTAGGAACTTAAGAGGTTCCTAAGATTTGGAAGAATTTCCTGGGAAAATAGCAGCGTGCCCCCGAGGAGGCAGAAGTATCTAATGGTTCTGCCTCCATCCAACCTAAATATGTCTCCTTTGAGCTCCTTGACACACAGTCCTACCCTCCCTCACTCCTGTGGCCAGAGTTTGACACTCGGAGCCTTTCTGGTCTTGCTCCTGCACTTCCGTTCCTGACTCAGTTCATTGCTTGGGGTGCAGCTCCATTCCCAGGGACTAGCCTCTTAGACACACCGCATAGACTCGGCTTCCAGGGGAGACAGCCACATTGTGGCATTGCCCACGCGGCCTTTGTCTTCAGTTGCTCATTCCCTTGCCCGGCTTAGCTGCCCCAACTGAGTCCTGAAGCTTGTCTGCCGCCCTCCCCAGAGCAGAACATACATGCACAGAGGGTGCCTCCTAGAATTCTCAAGACACCAGCATGTCCACACTGACCCCAAGCTAGACTCACCGAGGTGGAAGTGTCATGCAGAGAACATCATGTAGCCTGCGTTGTGCCCCGTGGAAGGAGATGCGGACACAAGTACAGCTCTAGACGCTCTGCTTCCTCTACCACTGTTGTCTACACGAGTGCGCGCGCGCGCACACACACACACACACACACACACACACACACACACACATATACACACACACACACACACATACACACACACACACACACACACACACATACACACACACACCTAAACTTGACTAAAAATTGAGCAAATCATCCCTTCTGGAGCTGAGTCCTATTCTGTCCCAACCTAGAGTCAGGAGTGAGTGAGACCTGGCCAGTGACCCTAGGCGGGGTCCCTGCTCCCCGGACGCTGAGGAGAGAGTGACTAGGAAGCCCTGTGAATATTGGTGCCCCCTAGGATGAGCTCCTCACAGAGGCTGCTACATAAGCCTGACTTGGGTTCAGCCCCAAGGTGCCTCTCCCCCTCTCCCTCTCACTGCCCAGCCTAGATGTATCTGAGGGCACAGATGTATCTGGGGTCAGGATGCCACGAGGCTCGAGATTTTCAGAGAATCCCCTTTCTTGCCTATTTCCCCGTATCTGCTCCCTGGCTACGCTGTCTGTCCCGTGGCTGAGCCCACGTTGGGCAGGTAAAAGGCGCCTCGTTTCCTGTGATTCCAGGCCCAGCCAGGTAACCTGGTGCAGGTAGCTAGGAGCCTAGGCGGCACTGTTCCTTTGTCCCCTCAGCTCATCTTCACGCCCACGGCCGCCGTCGCTACTGTGCAGCCCGAGCTCGGCACTGGCTCCCCCGCCCGGCCCCCCACCCCCGCCCAGGTGAGGACCCCATGCTTGTGGGAGGGCAGGGGAGTGGGTACCCCATTGATGGGTACTGACACTGGGTATGGGCCCACGCCCTGGGGGAGCTTTGAATCTCTGGGAAGGCTGGAATCTCCTAGGAAAGCAGGTGGGAGACTGGACGGCCCAATGTGTTCAGCCCTGCTCCTTCATTCCCCACTGAGAAGGCCTCAGCCACTCCTGACCCTGTTCCTGCAACACAGGTCAGGCGTCAGAGCAGCGCGCTGAGGCCAGCGTGGTTGCCAGTAATGGCCTGGTGGTCTTTGCTACCTTTGTACCTTACACTCACCCTCCCCAATGTAACTTCTGCTGCTTTGGTTGCTTTCAAGTGGAAAATCCCACTCTGGTTGCATAGACTAGCACCGCTAGGAATCAGGGGAAATGGCATGGAAGGGGGAGGGAAGATGAGTCCTGGATCCCTTCCTTCTGCTGGGAGCACACAGGTACCGCTGTGGCTGTAAAGATCCTATGGGCAGCCTGGCAGAGGAGCACCTCCCACTCCCATCACCCCATCCCCAGCTACAGAACAGGGGCCACGTGGAGGACACTTGTAGCAAGATCATCAGATTTGTCAGATGAGAGTCTGGCAGGGCCTCTGTATGTCCAGCAGAGGGCACCAGCAACCAGGTTTAATAAACAGGCCAACCGGTGCACAGCTTATTCTGGGGACCAGACAATCCTCTGCCTGGTTAGGATTATCAAGCAGAATAGGCTTTGCTGGTTTATTAGCTTTCCGGTTTGCCCTGGCCTTTTCCACCGTGGCAAGCCCACGTCCTGCGGTACCTGGGAATTCTTTCTAAGTGGTCTGCCCCCCATCCTGCTAGTTTGGAGGAGGCGGGAGCTTACAGAAGGGAGAGTGCCTGTCCTGCCTGCCCGGGCCTGCCCCAGCCTGAGCTGGTCTCCCTTCTCAGAATTCCATTTCTTTCTTTTTTTTTCTTTTTCTTTTTTTAAAATATATTTTATTGATTTTGTACAGAGAGGAAGGGAGAGAGATAGAGAGCTAGAAACATCGATGAGAGAGAGTCATCGATCAGCTGCCTCTTGCACACCCCCTACTGGGGATATGCCCGCAACCAAGGTACATGCCCTTGACCGGAATCGAACCCGGGTCCTTCAGTCCCCAAGCCGACGCTCTATCCACTGAGCCAAACCGGTTTCGGCCAGAATTCCATTTCTTCTGCTGGTGGATCCAACAATAGCACTCTCTCGTCCCCTTTAGAACCTCTACATGCTCCTGGTTTCTCTTTCAGCCTAACTCATTCTCTTTGTCTCTGATTTCATACATGATCCCATTCAACTATTCCTAGATCCATCCCTAACTCCTTCCCTGTCTTAGTTGTGTGTTGGCACTGTTCCCACCCACGTTCTCTGGACTCCTGTAGACCCCTCTTTTCCAGGTACAGAACCTGACCCTCCGAACACAGCAGACACCAGCTGCAGCAGCTTCGGGCCCTCCCCCCACTCAGCCTGTCCTGCCCAGCTTGGCCCTGAAACCCACGCCAGGCGGTAGCCAGCCTCTGCCTACCCCATCGCAGGGCAGAAGCACTGCTCAGGGTTCCCCTGCAGGTACCAAGTCTGGCCTCACTGACAGTGTGATGGAGCCCCTCAAGAAAGGAGATGGCAGCAGTAGCGCGCCAGGGAGCGTGGAGGGCCGGGCTGGGCTCAGCCGGATGGTGCCCGCCGTGGCTGCCCATCCCCTCATTGCACCAGGTAAGTGCTCCGGGAAGAAGGATCCTCTCCCAGGAAACGGTGGGCCAGGGAAAACTTCCAGACTTTCCTTTTCCCCATGGACATGCTAAGATCCCAGCCATGTGTCTCTCCCCTCTTCCAATCTTGAGATGTTCATTAGCTCCTCGATCCGTTTCATGCTTCTCATCCAGCCTTAAAAGGAAGCCACGTCCGTTGGACTAAATGAGTCCTTCACATTGGGCACAGCAATGAATCTCAATGTGCAGTCACAGCTGCCGACCCTGAGTGGGTGGAGGTTGGCAGCGAGACTATTTGGAAATTCTCTGAGAGTCAGCAAAAAGGATGGGGCCGGCCAGAGGCATGTAAGAACACATGGGAAAGGAGGAAGTGGGAAGTTCGTTTTCTCATCATTCCACAGACATTTGTTGACCCATATTTGCCAGTTGTATTGCCAGTTCTGGGTAGGTGGAGATAAATAAAACTGGAGCCTGCCCTTGAGAGCACAGTCTGGAAGGACAGATGGGTACAGTGAGATGAGTGCTGTAACGTGTGAGCACCAAGCACTGTCAGGACCCAGTGCACTGTCTGTCCTTGGGGAGAAGAGGCAAGAAAGGTCCCAATGAGGTCACGGGAGAATAAATGTAGCAGATTTTTTAAAAAATAATCCAGCAAGTCACTTGTGAGGCGAGTTCTCTGAAGGAGGTGAATCAGTCTTCCCTGGGGCCAGACTCCTTTCCCTGCCGGCTGGAATTCTCCCAGCATCGCCTCTTGTCCGCCATCCCGATGGGAAGAACCTGCCAACAGCCCTAGAGGCCTGACTTTCCCTCCCAGAGAGCAACACCAAGCTGTTCTAACACAGAAATAGAGGTGGTGGGCCTCGTGGATTTTGCATTAAAGAGACACTCAGTCTGGTCACATCCCTGGACCATCACTTGCCCTCGGACCTCATCCAATCTATTTTTTTTTTTCTTGAGAACCTACTCTGTGCTTGTTACTAATGAACCAAGATGGTCAAAATATGATTCCTTGCCTAAAGGAGTGTACAGTCGAAAGGACAGAGGTATACGGTATAAGAAAATCCATTCATGTCATAAATTCTGTTAAGGGAATAAGCAGGGTGTCAGTGGGCACAGTGCACAGGTGGTATTCTCAGCACCAGGCAGGATGGCCGGATGAAATGGCATGTGAGTCTTGAAGTATGAGCAGTTGACCCAGCAGACAAAGTAGGAGAAGGTATTCGAGACAGAAAAGCCCTATGACAGGGAGCTGAAAAGAATCTGATTTAAAGTCCTTTATTCGACTTTTTGAGGTTTCAAGGACAAAGGGTTGGTCTCTGCCTTCCGGGGTCACTACAGACCCTTTGGAGGCCTCACTGCCCTTGGCTCTGCGTGTCCCTTTCTGTCTGGCATTGCTTTCCCCGCAGATTGCTCCAGGCTCTTCCTTCAGGGGGAAAGGAACAGAGGCTCAGAGGTAAAGACTGGTTCTTACAGCGACTTGCTAGCAGCTTGGACTAGAGCAGCGACCCCAAGTTAGCATCTCTTCTACCTATTCGCTCAGTGCACAAGCCCTAGAGCAGAACTGGGAGCCAGGTCTGGCCCAGTCAGATCCTGGATCTCAGTCATCCAGCCGTGTTTGACTCTCCGTTCTGACAGTGGTTTGGGGCTTTCTGGGCCTTTCTTATTTCTGACTTGAAGCTCAAAGAGCCGGCGGTTCTGAGGCTGTTCTAGGGTTTACAGAGTCTAAAGGAGGGCTCTCTTCTCTCAAGCCCGGTCAGGGTGAGTGCAGGTGAGCCACAGGCTGAGGGCCAGAGCCCAGGTGTGACAATATGTGGCTCTCTGCAGTACAGGCCCAGTGCTTCCACAGAACTTTCTATGGAGCAGTTGGGAGCTTTGGACCACAAAGACCTTTCCCCCAGACACAAACCAGTAGGCTTCACATTGTTTCTGCCTCCCACTGTCCCCTCCTATTCTTCCTTTCTCCTCCCAGCCCTTCCTCTCTGTAGACCCTGGGGTTCCACTCCCCCACCCCACCTCCCAAAAGGATGACAGTGGCGGTTCAGGATGCTGCAGATCCTCTCAGGCCCCTGGGACAAACAAACAAACAAACAAAAGGACTGAACTAACCCTGTGATCTGATGCCCGGTGGGGGCGGGGTGGGGTGGAGGGGCAGCCGGAGCCGCACCTGCCCCGGCTCCGCAGTCCCCCAGGCGGAGGTAACTGCTGGCCTCCTGCCCAGTCAGCCCACTGCGAGCGGAACGATCAGAGCATGCGTGCATGCCAATGGGGGTGGGGGGAGCACAGAGCGGTTTTTTGTTTGTTATTGGAGCATTTTTGAGCTGGCTGGCTGGCTGGCTGGCTGCCCCCAGGGAAAGGAACCAGTGGAGACTTGCAGCGGGCGGCGGAGGGGCCGCACAGGGAGCAGAGCAGAGGGGAATGTGTCCTCCCGGAGCAGGCAAAGGCTCTGGTCCCAGCTGGGACTGCTCCCACTGACAGCTGTTTGGGGGCAAAGCCCCTCCCCCATGGCAGGCTCCCCGCTGTTCCTGCTCCTGTCACCTTGGCAACCGGCTTCTTTGGGCTCTGCAAATAGAAAAGGTCCCTTAAGCCTTTGGAAAGGAGTGGGGGAGGGGAGCGAGGGGCGGAGAGCAGAGCCGAAGAGGTTGGGCTTCTCAGTGCTGACCAGGCCTGAGAGGGGCAGGCGGCAGGGGCCCGGGCCTGGTCTCCAGGGAGGCTCAGTCCTAGGGAGCTGGGCCCAGCGCCCCATGGGAGGCTGGGCTCCTGGAGTCCTCGTTCCAGTGGAGACACTGGAGGCCCTGGGCGCAGTCTGGCCCTAAGGTGCGGAGAGAGGGAGACGCTGCGACAAAAGGGAACGGTCGTCGGTTCATTGAAAACCCTGCGCCCTTTTCACAGGATCGCGCCGCAGATGCCCGTTTTTGTTCTGCCTCCCCGTCCCTCCTCAGGTCCCAGGAGGAGGGAATGCTCTGTGGGGAAGGACTGCACATAGCGGCTTTGTGTACCACAGAGAGGGTTTTGTGTCGGCAGGCATGTCTGTCTGTGGCAGGCTGGACAGTGGGGTGCTTGCTGATTCCAGGAATTTGGCGTTCCATATCTCCCTCCCAAGCCGCTGCCAAACTGGGGGTAGACACACCTTAATTAGAGAATCCAGTAAAAACGAAACGTGCAGGTGGGCCTGTTAGCTGGCTTAGAATCAAAATTCCTAACCATTTTGATGTTAGAATCATGCAAGTAGCATGAAGGTCATTTCAACTATCCGCTGTAGGACCAAGTTTGGGTTACTAAGAATCTCCTTATATTGGGGGCCATCCACAGGGTATCAGTGGAATTTTATATTTTGTTCAAAAGCATCCCTCAGCATAGATGAGAGAGAGAGAGAGAGAGAGAGAGAGAGAGAGAGAGAGAGCGCGCGCTGTGGTGCACAGACGACCCTGGAACTGTTGAGCATCCTGCTTTCCTGGCTTTCCTCACCCAGGCTCCTGTTGTGTATATTATTACTTCCATGGATGCTACCAGCTAAGAATAGTAATTATAGTTCATGAACTATAGTAAACAATTCAATTCCAGGCACTGGTACTAAATACCTTATCTATATATCTCATTTAATCCTAACAAGGATTGTTTCATCTCACAAATTAAGAAGATGTGGCTTAGAAAGAATAACTACCTGTCATCCCCAAATAGTTTTTTTTTTCTCTTTAATTGTTCAGTTCAGCCCAGCAAGTTTTTGTTTAGCATCTATTGTGTGCCAAGCATAATGCTAGCCATATGGGAGTCACAGAGCTGAACAGGTTTGAATTCCAATAGGGCTGGTGGAAATGTGAGTTGCACCTTGACAAATGAGCAGGTTTCAGGAACTGAACAGAAGGAGGATTTTCTCTGTTGGCACCGGGCGGTACCTATACCCGGAGAGGCCCTGTGTGCCTCGGGCCATCTGTTCATGGAGGTGGGACCTGCTCCTCCTCCCCGTTGCCTACCCTCTGCCATGAGCTCCTTTTCCCCTGACTCCCTTGTGTTTTATTCCAACACTTAGCCCCCAGAGGAGCTTGTCTGTTCCTATGTTTCAAAAATCTACCAACTGTCCACAGACGACTTCCCAGTATGCATCCATCCCTGCCCCCATGCTCGCTCCCAGAGGCTGCCAGCCAGAGATAGGATATTCCTACTGGATACCTCCCCACCTGATTTCACATGTTTGACGCTTGAAGAATTCGTAAACAAACAACCAGAAGTCTTCCTCTACGGAGGGATCCCCTCTCCCAGTCCTGACCACTGCCGTGAGGTTTTCCCCTACGCCAGGCTCACAATCTCAGGCTTCTTTTGACGTAATGTTTCTTCACCAGAGGGAGAGGGTGTTATAAATGGCAAAAGCACAGGCTTTGGACTGAGACCTGGGTTTCGGACCCAAGCTTCATCACTAACTTTATGACCATCATCAAGTTGCTTAATGTCTGTAAACATCACTTCGTTTACAAAGCAAAGATGATTGTATTTACCACAGGCTGTAAAGATGGATGAGTGGCCTGCAAAGTGACCACCAAAGAGTAAGCTCACGGAGGCTTAACTGGTTGCCAGGATGCGCCCGGCTCACAGCTGCTAGAATCGTCTTCCCCAGAAACACTGCCGCAGTGTGTCTTTAGTTCCTGCTTTGTCAGTTGTAATTCTCTACTATAGGAGAGACTCAATAAATAGCACCTAAAGGTTTCCTGTAGACTAACTCTGCCCTGGGGTCCCTTCCAGATGCCCCCCCATTGCCCATGGCATCACTCTCATAGCCGTGGCTTCCTCACTCAGGTCTTCTTCCCCACTCCCACCCCTTTAGGTCTATGTTGCCTCCCACCTTCTGGCGTAATACTCCCCTGTCATTGTCCATCCCTCCAAGATTTCCTCTGACTACCTCTGCAGCCTCCCATAAGGCGCCAAGGCGTGCTGAGGCCTGTGTGCTTCCTGACCTGCACCGTTCCTGCAGTGCCTGCAGGTAACACACGCACAGTGCCTGCAGGCACTGGACCTCCTCTGTCAGATGCAGTAGGTTTCCCCCTAACCCTTTGCACTGGGAAGTCGTTTGGAAACCACTCTCAGCTTCTGCCTGTAAAACGGGAATACCACCCATTTGCCTGAGGCTTCTTATAAGAATCCATGAGACTCAGCCGATGGAAAAATGCTGTGAGGCATTCAAAGCAACATACAGCCGCCACTTATTGAGCATCTCCTAGGTATACATGAAGACAGTAAACTTCTTTGTGGTTTTAAACATAAGATTCCATGTGACTCTAACTTCCCTATGTAGTATGTATCACCATTTACGGAACAGAAGCCAACATGCAGAGAGGTCACGCAGTTTGTCTAAGACAGAACCAAGACTCCAAGCAGATCTGACTCTAAAACCCATGCCTTTAGCTACTTAGGCTGTACTACCTGTCCTTCTGCCAGGGGTGAGTAGTTTCATTTTAATGCTCCAAGCTGCCTGATCAGGAATCCCTCTCACAGAGGGTTTGGGTGGCTTTGCCAGCCGCTGCAGAGCAGGCCTACGGGCATGAAAGCATGGGTGCACCACCGCAGAGAGCCCCTGCAGTTGGCAACCCTGTTTTTATAACCCAGTTTCCTCTTACAGGGAAACTCCCTCCACTCTACTCCCCCCTCAGATTCCCTTAGCCCTCAGTTCCGAGGACCTGCATCCCGGAACACTCATGTGGCTGTTGCTTTCTGTTTGCCCAAAAGGAGCTTCCTTGTCTGTGTGCATCAGACTCTGACCTCTAGAGCCGACCTCAATCTCAGTTATACCCTGAGGCCTTTGGAGCTGAGCGACCTCCTGACGGGGCCAGCATCACTTAGACCTAAAATTGCCTCCTCTCTGGCTGTTCTCCCAGAGACACCCTGAGTTCCACGGTACAGGATGCCCTACAGGTTCCTGAATGCACCCCTGTATTTTATACCCTCAGCACTTCCCACATGCTGTTCCTTTTGTCATCTTCCTAACTCTGGATGGTGCTAACACTTCCTTCTTCTGGGAAATCTTCTCTGCTCCCCTTCCCAAGCCGAACCCCCTTCTCTGTGTCCTCAGCATTCGGTCCTTATCTCCTATCATAACATTGACCAAGTTCCGCTGGGAAAGCTGTTTGCCAGCTGTCCTTTCACTGAAGTGTTAGCCACCGTATTCTAGGGTCCATATTGTAGTCAGCACCAAACATAGTACTGGGCCTGCAGGGGGTGCTTAGTAATGTTGTGGGGTGACTGAATGGCTGAAAGCATCTCTTCATTAACTTTCTAAACCGTGAACAGTAGCAGGTGGTAAAAAGTTATGCCATTCCTATCTCACAAGTTCCCTCCCCTCATAATATTCCTGTAGCTCCAAACTCTAACCAGTTATTGGCTGGGATGCTTACAGCACCTGTACTTGTAGACTTTGGGACGAGTGTGAGCATTTGGGGGGGCAGGAGGGGGGAAGCGGGCTGTGTCTTGCATCCCGGAAGTCCTGCATACTGATAAATTGACAGTGGATGCTGTGAGGGGGCGTGTCAGTAATCCCTCACAGCCAGCCCTCCTTAATCCCCATTGCTAGCACGCAGCCATTTGGGAACTGCAATCGGCCTCTTTAGATTCTAAGGAGGCTGTTCAAGGTTAGAGCACCGGACCGTTCCCTGAGCTTCCTTTCAGCAGGGCCCTAGTTCCTGCGGACCCTAGGCTGCTCCCCAGCAGAAAGGGCTGGTGAAGCCTTCCAAAGCTGTGGCTGAGGTCCCACAGAACCAACCCTCTGATCCTTAAAAGATGAATTTTCTAGCATTGGGGGGCGGGGGGGAGCCAAAATGGGTACTGGAATAAAATGAAACTATTGGACCTGAGGGAAAATATAAGAAGGAAGGTCCAGAGAGATTTCTGTGCATCGATTTCATAAAGGGATATCCCTAGGATGGTGCAAAGCAGAGACCCAGAACAGCTGGGAGGGAGGGGAGAGTCCTGCTGGCTGCAGGGTGACCTAGATTTGATCTGTGGCGCTCTAGACAGTGTGAGAAAGACGTAAACTCCGTAGAGAGGACAGTGAGCTTGGATCAAAGAAAGAAGAATTGAAAGGTTGGTTTGTGTTGTGGAAAGCGGTTTGTGTTGCTGATAAGCACCAGAGATGTTATAGCTGCCACGCCAGTCCTGTTAGGCTCCAGCAGCAGGACAGACCTGCAGAAGGATGCTTATCCTCCCTGAAAATTCAAGTAAAACCTTTTCCCTTATTACAACATCAGGAATTCTAGGTTTGGGACCAGAGTCACTCCAGGGGCTGCCCATCTGAATGTCAGACGCTTTATAGTTGTCTGAAGGTTGTGGGTTATTGTTAAGCTGAATGTCAGACGCTTTAGATGGCTGCAGACAAAGGAGAGTCCCCGGTGGCTTTGGATCAGGGATCAGATCTGTGCACCAGGAAGGTTCATTGGCAGTCATCTGTAAGGTGGGCTACAGGAGAAGAAACGGAATCACAGAGACCCATTAGGTTACTGCAATACTTAATATAAAAGGGCATTTATCCAGGACGGTGCTGCAGTTAATGCATGGTATTTGTTTCTTATTAACCTCAGAAGGATGTGTATTCCACCCAAAATGCATTGGGGTCTTTGACCTGTGAACTTATCTAAGCCTCCGCGAGCTTTATTTGCAGCCTTGGCATGCACTAGCATCGTTTGTTCTAAAACAATTGCCTTTGGGTTTTCAGGAGCAGCACAGGGTGGGGGAGGGAGTAGGGTAGGACTGGAGGCCCAGGGATGGAGGGCCAAGAGGCCAACAGTCGCCTTTCCCAATTTGGTAAACAATGTATTAGTTCCAGAACCTTCCTTCTCTCTAACCTCCTTTTGTTTTCATCTTACAAGTCCTGAACTTTAAACTGTTTTCCTGTGATAGCCACTCACAGTGTAAAACAGGAAGAGACTTGTCTGGTCACCTAGCCCAAACCTCATGTTTCACAGATGAAACTGAAGCCCAGAGAAGGAAAGGGACCCTCTCAGGCCACACAGCCAGCGAGCAATGGGACGTGCCACTGATCCTCTCAGCTCCTCTGACCTGCACCATCTCTGGCTCTCACGTCAGATGGGCAGCTCCTGGAGTGACTCTGTTCCCAAACCTGGAATTCCTGATGTTGTAATAAGGGAAAAGGTTTTTCTTGAATTTTCAGGGAGGATAAGCATCCTTCTGCAGGTCTGTTCCGCTGCTGGAGCCTAACAGGACTGGCGTGGCAGCTATAACATCTCAGGTAGTTATCAGCAATTGTCTTAAAAATTCCTGATTGTGAAGTTTGCCCGATTAACATTTTTTGCCTGGTTGTTAAATTTTGAGGTATTCAGTGTGGAATTAGGAGACAAAGCTTTGGTTAGGGTCAGGGGCAACTTATAAATCACCAAATGCCTGCTGGCAGTTTTCATTTGGCCATTCCACCATCACCTTAAACCCAATACATTTCTCTCAAAACCTCATCACCATGGGAGTTCCCCTCTTTCATCACCGACTGACATCCAGACCTTAGCCTGGGGGCCACCCCTGTTCCCCATCTCTCTGCCTACCACAGTCCATCAGCAGGGACCACTTTGCTTTTCCTGAATGCCTCTTGTTCCTGACCTGGATTTCAGTCGAATTTCCTGAAACGCTACTGTATACAAGACATGAGTTAGACCCGAAAGGGAATACTAAAAATCCTCACCTCAAAAGGTCAGCCTAGTTAAAATGCAGGGAGAGAGGCCAGCAGCAAATGGCAGCCAATGACAATAAGTTTACTTGACACTTATCTACTGTCCGGCACGAGGTTTTGGATAGAGAGCTACCTGACAGTTTTGATGCCACGGGGTTCATGATCTGGAAGGAAAGAGAGCTAAGAACAAGTGTAGCTCACTGTAGTACTGCTGATTCTGATAGAGGTAAGCCCAAGATCCTTTGAGAATCCAGGCCTGAAATAATGGTTTTAATTATAACTAGAAATGCTTGAACAGGACTGGGTGCCAGACGCTGGCTGTGCACATTGTGTCATTTTCTCTCACTTTATTTGCACAGTTTTGTTTGTTTCCTATTTCATCCTTACAACTTTCAGGGTGGGAACTATATTTCTAATTTTTAGACAAGGATGTTGAGGCCTACAGAGGCTGCACACATAGCCCAAGGTCCCATGGCATGTAACAGCAGGTCCTGGTAGCCCGGCCCCGGTCTGCCTCCTGCCACAGTCTGAGGACCGCTGTGCACCACTGGTGCTTCCTGGAGGAGGCAACCTGGGCGGAGCAGAGGGTGAATAAGAACGAGCCAGACAGAGCTGGGGTGGGCAATGGGAGGCATGCAAAAAAGCAAGCGAAGGGCTTGGAGGAGAGAGAGAACATGGAACCCTAGAGAACCCAGCTGGAATGTCGAGGAGGGCTTCCCAAGGAGGTGAGTTTGGCGTTGGGCTTTGAGGGAAAGCCACGGGCCCAGTGTTGCAGCATAGGAGGAAAGGAAGAAAGCAGAAAAGACTGGGCTGTGACCAAATCAGGCTATAGGTGAAAGGTGAGAGCAATCCACACTGCGTTTCTGTGGGCATGGGCAGGGGTCCATTTGGGGGCTTTGCAGAGGACAAGGTCAAGCCACGCCCCCTCCCTGGTTTTTCCCCTTCAGCCTACGCTCAACTGCAGCCACACCAGCTCCTCTCCCAGCCGCCTTCAAAGCACCTGCAGCCCCAATTTGTGATCCAGCAGCAGCAGCAGCAGCCAGCACAGCAGCAGCAGCCCCAGCAATCCCGGCCCGCACTCCAAGCCCAGTCCCACCCCCAGCTCGCCTCCATCCCTCCGAGTTTGGCCCTGCAGCCCAGTCCCGAATCCCATGCCATGCCTCTAGGCCCAGTTACATCCACCCTGTCACTCCAGTGTCCCACTGCCAGCCTGTACAAGCCTGGCAGCACTCAGCATTGCCACCCTCCCACGCCCGATGCTGGGCCTCACAATGGGTATCCTGAGGGCCTGTCCCACACCCCTCAACGCAGGTTCCAGCATGCCTCGGCTGTCATCTTACAACTGCAGCCTGCGTCACCCGTGGTGAGTAAGACCATCCCAGGCTCCCGGAACAAATGGGGGCCACCGCTCAGGTAATCCCACAGCCCCCAGTGGGGTGTGCTTCCAGGTGGGCTGAGTGGTGAAGGCCTCTGGATATTCCAAGAAAGAAGGGGGCCTCTCTCTGATGGGGCTGGCTACATGGAATGTCCTTGTCCTCTACCCAAGCTCCACGGAGCGGGCCAGTGTCCGGAATGTAAAGGCAGTTCATGAGAAGATCCTCCCTGTCCTGTGTCTTCACAGCCCCAGCAGTGCACCCCAGAGGACTGGAAGGAAGTGGTCCCTGGGGAGAAGAGTGTGCCCGAGGCTCGGTCCCGCCCATCACCGCATCAGCAAGCCATTGTCACTGCCATGCCCGGGGGCCTGCCTGTACCCAAGAGCCCTAACATCCAACAGATCCCAGCTCACGGTATGAAGTGTACTGGGGCCCTTGGGGGAGGGGAGAGAGTTGGCCTTCCTTGCCATCCCCTGGCATATTGTACTTGGGCAACTAGAATGGAAGGAGAAACTATAGGAAGCCATAAAAAAGCAACGAGGAAGCTGGGTAGGTGAAAATGGAGGGAAGAGAAGATGAACCAGGGATAAAGAAAGGGGGTCTAAGAAGGTATAAGATAAAAGGCTGGGGAAGGGAGTTGAAAATTCTAGATGCAGACTCAGGCCTGCATGCCATTGCTGTCAGATGTGTCTATACATCCGTATGCTAGCTGGGGAGTTCAGGTATCCAGTTGTCTCCGTTCCCTGATTCATTTTGGCAGGAGAGGAGTTCTTGAAATTGGAAATATGACAAGATGGCTGGGTAGCTCAAAGATGAGGGAAATGACTGCCAAGGGGGAGCTGGAAAGGGATTCAGAGTGAGTTCGGCTCGTGGAGAGCATCTTTGAAAGAACAGTGCTCGGCTGGGACCCCATCTGTCTGCCTGTGAGTGCCCAGCGACAAGTGGGCTTGTCCATGGCCTGGGTTTCAGGAGATTCCGCTGAATCCCGCTACCCTGATGGGAGAGTCACAGTAGTAGTTCTGCCTTTGCAGCAATCCATTTGCTTTCCTTCCCTGCCTGCCAGTGTGCACGGCAATCTTGGCCACGATTTCAGTGACATTCTGAGCCATTTGCTGCCTGCAACTCAGGGAGGCAGTTCCAGTCATTGGACTGTGTGTTGGGGTCAGGGTGGGAGAGCCAACAAAAGGTTTGGAAACTGAAGGAGAAATGAGAAGAATAGCACTTGAGGACAAAGTGGGGATGGGGGTAATAAATGTCCTATAATGAATGGATCAAGGAAAAGGAAAGCAAATAAATGTGGAGAAAGAACATTAGAAAAATTAAAGGACAGGAAGGAGTTCGTTGTTCTCTTGTCACTTGCAAGATAAGGGTTCATCATTTTGAAAAGCAGTCGTTCCATTGTGGAATTGCTCTAATGATCAGGAAGTCACTCTTCAAATTAAGCCCCAATCTTCTCCCCTGGAACTTCTACTAGTGGTTTTGACTGTTATGAATTATAACAAGGTCCATCTCCTACAGTGTTTGTAGACTGTTATCATGTCTCTTTCCTCTCCCTCCCATTAAAGAAAGATATGGACACATGTAATACCTTAATCAATTTAAAAAAATGAAAAAGAGAGAGAATCAGCCCTGGCCGGTGTTGCTCACTGGTTAAAGTGTCAGTCCAAGCACCAAAAGGTCATGGGTTCAATTCCCAGTCAAGGGCACGACCCTGGGGTCAGGGTGCATGTGGCAACCAATTCATGTCTCCCACATCAATGCTTCTCTCTCCTCTGTCTCTCTCCCTCCCGCTCTCTTTTCCACTCTCTCTGAAAAGCAATGGAAAAAAATATCCTCTGTTGCAGATTAAGAGAGAGAGAGAGATGGGGGCGGGGAGAATATCTAGTCTAAAGACTGAGACTTTTTTTTACAATGACAAGACCTCCTATTCCCACTGTTCTGGTTATTCTTGTCTAGGCACTTTGCACCTTTTCAATAATTCTCTTAAAATGTAATCCACAAAATTAAGCACCTTAATTCCAAGTATAAAAAGCCACAAGTCACAGTAGGTTGGGACGTGGACCTCGCTGTATTAGCTCTTCAGGGGGCAGGCAGGACTGTTTTTCCAGATCTGCATGGTATGGTCAGGAGGAACTGAAACTTGTTGAACACCTACTATGTGCCAAGTACTGTTCTAAGTTTTCCTTTACCCATGATAATAAGGCCAGGAAAGAAATATTATGGCCCCCATTATTTAGAGGAGAAAACAAAAGTCTTGAAGAGGCTTCAGGTCCCACAGCTATGAAAGCACCATGGCTCTGGCTGCACCCTTCCTTCCTTCATCAGGAGATTGCACCGAGGGCCCCACATCCACTGCTCCAACCCAGGGAAATGATACTGTTGGGGCACAGAGCACTGTGTCACTTGAATTCCAGTGGGTTGGGTCTGCTTTTGTGTTTGAGGTTTCTTTTTACATGGACTGCTTTCATTCCAGGTCTCCCCAGTCTCAACCTCATACAATTTCTTTTTTGAGCCAATGTATAGTTAATGACATGTGTTAAATATCTTGTGAATATAGCCCAGAGTTCCAGCCCAGTAAGAAAATGGTAATAGTTAATAACTAACATTCACTGAGCTCTCTCTGTCAGGGTTTACATGTATTTCCTCATTTAATCCTGACAGTAACCCTCTGAAGCAACTTTTATCATCCTCATTTTAAAAAATGTTTTGATTTTTTTTACAGAGAGGGAGAGGGAGAGAGAGTTAGAAACATCCATGAGAGAGAGACATCAATCAGGTGTTTCCTGCACACCCTCTTACTGGGACCTGCAACCAAGGTACATGCTCTTGACCGAAATCAAACCTGGGACCCTGGAGTCCATAGGCCGATGCTCTATCCCCTGAGCCAAACTATCATCCTCATTTTAAAGATAAGAAAACTAAGGCACCGAAAGAATATGTGGTGGGACAGAAATGTTTCATATCTGAATGTTGTTAATCATTACATAATGCCTCTGTTATCTTTGCCATCTATAAATTATATAGCATGTTTTGTCTTTAATCAATTTGCGGATAGAAATGTTGAATAGGATACATGCCCTGTCTATAAGATGGTGATAATCAACATTCTTTGTTCAAGTATTTATCATCCAACAATCCCTAAATGAACTGACATTTGCCTACTTTTTCTTCATCTTGTTTACAAAGCTCTCAAAAATCTCTTTCTGTAATCTAATCAAGATAATCTATAGTAATAAAAGGGTAGTATGCTAATTAGATAGATAGAGCAGATGTCTTCCAGACAAAGCCACAGTGGCAGGGCTGAGGCAGAGGTGGTTAGGGGCTATCGGGAAGGCAGGCAGAGAGGTTAGGGGCGATCAGGCAGGTAGGCAGGTGAGTGCGGTTAGAAGCCAGCGGTCCCAGATTTTGAGAGGGATGTCCGACTGCCAGTTTAGGCTCAATCCCATAACCAGCAGTGGTACATCCCCCGAGGGGTCCCGGATTGGAGAGAGTGCAGGCTGGGCTGAGGGATTCCACCCCCCATGCACGAATTTTGTGCACCAGGCCTCTAATATACACATAACGGGCATCCTGACCCAGAAGGACTATCTAATGAGAGAAATAAGCTTTACACAGTGGAAACAATGGTCAGCCACCTAGTACTTAATTGTATAACCATCCTGTATTTGAATGCCTGCTCTATGCAAAGCACTGTGGGATGGGAGGTAATACATAGAGTAAAAAGATCTGTACCCTACCTTCAAAGAGCTAGAGTTCTGCTGGGAAAGATGTTAAGTGCACAGGGGGAAAACATATACAATAAAAACTAAAATGTGATAAATGCTATAGAAGTATTATAGGTAAGTTCAATAAGAGGGGAAAGTTACTACCAAGTATAAATTATCAGGCTAGACTGCAGAGAAGTGGCATTGTTCTAGAGCAGAGGTTAGCAAACTATATCCCAAGGGCCAAATCCATCACATCACCAGCTTGAGGTTTTTTTGTGTGTGTTTTTTCGTGTGTGTGTGTGTGTGTGTGTGTGTGTGTGTGTGTGTGTTTATCTGAGGATATTTTTCCATTGATTTTTAGAGTGGAAGGTGGGTTAGTGGGAAAGAGAGAGAGAGAGAGAGAGAGAGAGAGAGAGAGAGAGAGAGAGATATTAATTGGTTGCTTTCTGTACAGCCCTGATCAGGGATTGAACCCACAACCTCGGTATGTTGTTTCTGGGAACCTTTGAGTGCACAGGACGATGCTCAACCAACTGAGCCACTCCAATCCAGAACATCACTGGTTTTTGTACAGCCCCCAAGTTATTGCTGGTTTAACATTTTAAGATGTTTAAGAATAAAAAGAATAGTCTTCATGATACATGAAAATTATACAAAATCCAAATTTCAGTGTTCATAAATAAAGTTTTATTGGAGCACAGCCACCTATATTCATGGACATGTTATCTATGGTTGCTTTCCTGCTACAACAGCAGAGCTGAGGAGCTGCAACAGAAACCATATGTCCTGTAAAGTCTAAAATATTTACTGTCTGGTCCCTTACAGAAGTTTGTTGACCACTGTTCTTGAGTCTTGACCTTGAAGGATAGGCAGGACCTGGACACGCAGAGTTGGGGAAAGGGCACTCCAGGAGGGAGTCGTGGGAGTAGAGGTAGGGAGTTGGGAACGCGTGGGCATGTTTGGAGAATAGAGAGAAGTTGTGTATTTGATCCTGAGTTACTTTCTTTTATAAAACAAAATACAAGTCTAAGAAATGTAAAGGCAGAAATGTGAACATTAATGAAATAAGGCTCTGGAAGTTTGAAAGATAGTAGAGGGGAAAGGGAATAAGGAAAAGAAAGGGAGTGAAGTAAACAATCAAGAAACATAAAATAAATGTAAAACGAGGAAACAAAGACAAAGGGATGAGGAAGACCTAATAGGAAAAGAGAGAATATGAATGCAAGAGAGAGAGAGAGAGAGAGAGAGAGAGAGAGAGAGAGAGAGAGAGAGAGAGAGAGAGAGAGAGAGAGAGAGAGAGAGTCAAGAAAATGGGAAAATGTTGGGAACAGTGAGAGAGCAATCATGGGGAGATTCGTGTTGTCTACTCTGCACAAAGCTGGGAGGCGGGGAGTGAACTTGTGATTCGCTTTTGTATCCCCCACAGCTCCCAGCATATCTCCTGATTGAATGTGCGTCACCAGGACAATCCCATTTAAAGCAGCGTGGTTTAGGAAAGAAAAGTAACATTTATTAGGCTCCAACTGTATGCCAGGCAGGCACTGCTGGTACTCTGTATAAATGTCCTCAGTTAACCTTCACAGTGAGCCTGAAGAGCCGGCATTCTTCCCTTTTATGGAGGTGTAGCCGGGTCAATTCGATCGTTACTTAACCTCTCTGATCCTCAGCTCCCGGGGGAGGATAATGGCTCCTCGGGGGGCTGTTGCG